GAGCCATTTGCAAACTAGTCTGGCAAGCTAGTTTAGCACCTTACAGGAAGCCGGACCCTTGTATTGTAAAACTCCCCCCTTCTGCTAGCCCGGGAAACCCAGATCAAGTGCTCCTGCAAACCTGACCAAATGGCTACAACTGTAAAGAAAAACGTTTTTGTCTTGCCTGAGCAAGCAACTTCAGGGTCGCCATAAAATTACCCTTGATACCCCTTATCTTGCTTCCTCACTCTCTCCTCCCCTCACCCCACGGACTCAGGTCTATATAACCTGAATACTCCTTTGTTCGGGGCTTCACTCTTAGCCATGTCTTGTATGACTGAGAGTGGAGTCCTAGCGCACTAGCAATAAAGCCTCTTGTATTTTACATCAAGAACCGACTTTTGTGGTTGATTGGGGTCACCTTTGCCGTAACACTCCCTGGACAAGGAGGTTCAGCGAGTTGCCGGCAAAAACCTTTCAACAGGACCCCCACCCTCCGTGGGTGTGACGCGCAGGACTCCCGCTCTCCCCACACCTGTGCTTCCCATGGACACAAATGAAAATGCATTTTCCATTCTTTTTGTGCTAAGCCAGAGTCATACTGTGTGGTGACCCTCCTGTCTCAGCCTCACAAGCAGATAGGGACCACAACCTCATGCCACCATGCCCAGACTCTAGGAGGAACTAGGACTCAAACCCAAGCCTCCGAGAAGCCCCAACCCGCAGAGCAGTGTCTAGGCAGTGTGTGCTACCACGGCTGGGGCCGAGCTTCTTTTATGAAACAAAAACTTACCTCTAGACTAACTAAGGAGTTGCGTGAAAGATCTAAAGATTTTAGACCTGTTAAATTCATCAAAGAATTTCCCAAGTGAGTAATCTTCTCTTGGTAAGTCCCAGGAATAGATAATGATCGAAGCTCAGCTAAACAGAGAAAGTTATGAGATTTAATATTTTAATTGAAAATAAAAATAGTAAAAGTCCAAATTCTGAGATTTGAAAAACACAGAGAATACTGTCACAAGGGTTCTCTGAACTAGAGTTACCTGTCCCAGGCCTAGCTGTGCACTTCCTTATAAAACCGTTCTATAAGGAACCTACCACCCTGCCTGTCTGACAGGCTCCTCGCCCTCCACTACTCCTGAGGGGGTGCTGGGTAACCTCCTATCCTCAGCAGGTATGTTGGTTAGGTATGTTGAGCCGGAACCCCCCAGACACCTCTCACATGACCTCACGGTAACTTTCCATCCCAGACTCCTGCTTGGCTGTGATGCTAAACTCCTGCCAGCTACCCCAAGCTAAGCCCAAGCTCTCCGCCCAGGGCAAACCCTACTGCAGCAGCCCATGCCCATCACAATGATCCCGATGAGGTCTTCCTTATGGTGGGCTAAAAAGTTTCCTCATATATGCTGTTTTCTTTAACAACATAAAAGGATTGAAAGACAAAATAACACACGTAGCCCACTGTGGAGTAAATTCCTTTATCTTCCTCCTTAAGCTTTCTGTGTTTAAGTTCTCTTACAGTGAAAGGCAGTGGCCTTGTAATCTGAGAATCCCTTAGGAAAACAAAGCAACTCCCTCACTCCTCCAAACTTCCCTGGGCCCACACCCCTCTTTTTATTCAAGACAGATTTTTGCTGTAGGCTCTTGTGCTCACTGGAGAGACAGAGCAAGAAATCACCTCCTGGGAGATGGCCACGCTGCAATTTCTTCTCCACCATTTTCCTCTCAGGATTTTAGGCCCACACATATGTGCCCAGCATGTTTAAGCTGCTGGGTCTGGGACTCGAACTGTGGCTAATTATTGGGAGCACAGTGACATACCCATTAACCCTGGCCCACACCCCTCTTCCACTCCCTACTTCTCCCTCTAAGACGAAACCAGGAACCCCTCGGCTGGTCTCCTGCTTCCACCCTTTGCTGCTCGACCCCATCGCCCTTGGGGCCTTATCAGGGTTGCACCTGAAACTCTCCACTCTGCCTACCCATTACATCTGAACCTAAACAGCCCAGACAAAAGGACAGGACGACTTCGGAAGCCAGGGCACCTCTAGCTTCCAGAAAGGACGCAGCAGTGAGGTCCAGCGTCGACTCTGGCTTTGGCTGCTTGTGTGTGTACATTCTGATCTAGGCACTAAAGACGCTGGCAACTCAGAAACACCGATGGACACAGACCACAAGTAAGGCTGAGCCTCCTCTCTGGTCAACAGCCCAGGAGGGGACCTGGGAGGACAGACTCCTTTCACATGGGTTCGACTTCAACTGAACACCAAGAAAAAACGCACCTCATACAGCTGCCACGCACATCACTGTACAAATGGACCTGACCTGCCTGGCTGGCACACTCCTAGCCGGCAGGAATCTACGAGTAAGGCAGCATCCAGCGAGTGCCAGTGAGGAGAAAGGAGATTTAAATAGGAACCCTCTGGTTAGACATACTAGATAATACCTCAAATGTTCACAAGATAAAAAATTTAAAATGACCAAGAATCAGAAGTCTCAATTTGAATGAGAAAATACAATCACCAGACACAAACAGATGACAAAGAAATCAGACTGTTCTACAAGTATTTTAAAGCTACTGACAATAAAAAGGGAATTTTGAGAAATTAGAAGAAGAAAAACCCCACAATAACACAAAGAGCTCACAGGAGCAGCTCCATAGAACATCCTGGGACCTCCCAGCATGCTGGGAGCATGCATGTACCTTTGATCCTGAAGCTGACAGCAGCATGAATATGCTCTGAGAAACGTGTCATTAGGGGATTTAGCTGTGTGAACAGTGTACTTACACAGACTGAGATGGCATATGGTATAGGGTACTAAGAGTCTCGCGGGACTATGATCACATACACAATCTTTCATTGTTAGACAGTGCATGACCATGCTCTGAAATGTAATAGAGAAGTTAAAATGGGAGAGTGAAAAGTATTCAAGTTACCATAGGAAGGCAAGTAGAGGAAACAAAATAATAAACAAAAAGGTACAAAAACAATAAGATGGCACTTTTAAGTTCTACTGTATTAATAATTACATTAAATGTAAATGGTATCAGAACATCAGCAAGATACAAAAGCACTGAACTACTGCATTAACCAACAGACTCTAACAGATAATTACATAATACTCCACTCAGGGCAGAATCCACATTCCTTTCAAGTGCACTGAAATTTCAAACGATATAGGTCAGATTTGGGGTCATAAAACCAGTCCCAATAACTATAAAAATTAAAATCACATACAATGTGTTTTCTAACCCAGTGGAATCATGCCAGAATCAACAACAGAAAAAAGTACCAGCAAACCGTCCAAACAGAGTTATAAGAACATTCTCCTAAATAATCCATGGGTCAAAAAGTGAGTCTTATGGAAATTCTTTCAATATGTCAAGCTGAGTGACAATGAAAAAGCAGCATAACAAACTTGCGGATGCAAAGTCGCGCTTAGAGGGAAATGTATAGCACTAGTTATATTAGTAAGAGCCTCAAATTGATGATCTGAATTTTCACTCCAAGAATCCAGAAAAAAGGAGAAGCAGAATAAATGCAAAGCGAGCAGAAAGAAAAAAAATAACAGGGCAGAAACCAATGAACTCTTAAATCAGAAAACCATCTGCAGAAAATCGGTCAAACCAAACTGCAAGCTCTTTGAAAACGTCTCTGAAGAGACCAGAAGGCGCAGACCCCGGGTCGGGGACGGAGGAGCGGCTGTCCCTGCAGACCCCGGCCACGAGGCAGCGAGGCGAGCACAGCCCCAGCACGTCCCAGCCCGGTCGCAGGTGGCGGGCGGCTCTCCCTCCAGGCCGCAGGTCTCGCTGGGGACCGGCACCAAGCGCCAGAGACCGCAGGGCCTGCACACTCGACGACACGCGCACTCGGAACCTGGGCCGCGGCGGCCGCGCCCGCCCGCCCCGCGCCCCCCGGTCGCTGCGGGGCGG